AAGAATTGTCAATCAAACCACAAAACAGAGTCTAACTGATAATTTACTTATTAACTATTTTAAGTCATATGACTGAATTAGAAGAGAAGATTTACTGGAAATTCAAATGTGCAACAGCTTTTCATAAATGAAGCAGCATAATTTCTTAGTGCTTATGCTAAGAAACTGATCTTTTCATCCTCAGACTGCAACTATGAACAATACCTTTCACCACATTCACAAAAATAAAGTGCTGGCTTTGAAGTATTTTAAAATAAGAGCAGTATGATTAAGCCATCTAGGGTATAGCTGGAAAACATAATATGAAATAGAAGCTTTTTGAAGAAATTACAGTCTTAAGCATTAGTATTTTTTCTGTATATTCTGCTTTTACGTTTTACTATCAAAGAGGTCATTACAGTAAATACAAGCATGGAATTGGAAAGGAATCTAACTTTATGAGGGGAAATAAAAACCTCGTTGTGTTGAAGCTTTTCATGTTTGAATCTAATGCAACTGAAGTGCCTCATCAATCTAGTGGGATGACTATGTACTGGCACAAAGGAGGAGCTACAAACAGGCAGCAGACTCAGGCAGGGCTGCAGCAGTGACAACTTTTGTGAGCTTACACTATTATCAAAGTATATGTCAAGTCTATTAAAATGCTATTAAATAAAAAAAAAAAATTGAGCTGCTTTTAATCTAGGTTTAACCAGGACCCCTGTCCAGTTTACCACAAAGCCATACAAAAGTTCACATTGCACAAAGAATAAATGTCCAGGGATGAAAACAACGCCTTTCAATTGTGGTTCAAGTTTATGCTGCTTTAAGTGCTTGTGGAATTACTCTGCTAGAATTCGATATCATAACTGGTTTCAAATGAATTAAGACTGGAATGTTGCCAAAGAGGGTACATTGCCACACACATAGCTTGTGCTGACATTCTCCTGCTTCCCTTCTCATTGCATACATTAACTTAAGAGCTGTTACTGCTGATCCAACTTACTCTATATTTGCAAGAATAAACGTCAGTGCAAAAGAAGAGATGGAAGCATGCAGTCAGGACCGGGAGAAGGGCAAAACAGGTGAACCTCGTTAAAGCAGAAGCTTTGCTTGCCTCAATCCCACAGACAGCAGTTCAACGCTATGAGCTTTAAGAGGCTGGAGTATTTTCAGCAGGATCAGTTCTCTGAGCAGCCAACATTGTAAAAATGAGAACACAACAATGGGCAGCAGTACTAAACAGCCTGATGAGAGGAAGAAAATAGGATTGCCTTCCAGAGCACTGACAGTTTTAATTGTCTCACAGTGTTCACTGAAGTGCACTTGTAGATTGTACACAATTGCTATTGTTAAACTGGAGAAGCTCCTCCAAGACAGATGTGCTACTTCCCAATATACATCGACCAAAACACTGTTTTAACTTGACATGTTTTGCCCCAAAACACACTGCTTTTTCCAATAAATTAGCTGTTATAATCAAAAGATACAACTTCTTTCTCATATTCTTTCCTGTAGCCTCAAAATCAAATCAGAAATTTGGATTGCTACAAGGTAAATAACAAAAGTAGTCTTGGTTACACAGTGTGGATGAATACAAATATAATGACAAATTTCAGAACATAAATAAATCACATTATGGTTAAATTTAAACTTTTGCTATGAGTTATTATCAAATGGTAAAGGGTAAGAAAGCCCTTCACAACACACATTAGTGAAGATGCCTTGAAATAAGAGTGTAAAGTACAAAGATTGAGAATTTATCCCAATACATACAGACTGCAGACTCCTAAATGCAGAACAGAAGATGAAAATCCAGAGCTGCAATATAAATGACCATTTATTCTGCTTAAGAGCAATTACACTTTTTTTAAGAGAAGAAAGCTGCGCCCTACACATAGCTAAGACTCTCTAAGGTTGAATAACTACTTTGGTTTTAGAAATCCAGAAAAAAAATTTAGCATCCCTTCCTTTTTAAGGCCATCTAGTAAACGTTCTCATCCTATCCCAGTGGCCTGTTCCTGGAGGCAGTTTCTGACTGATGTCATGGAACACATCAGTGTAATAGTAAATATTTTAAAAGTTGGGAGATAGATAGGAATTACCTTTCTACTGTTTCCTTTAAGTACTAAAATGAATCCTGTCCTTGAAAAAGTGCTTTTACCATTGGTGCATTACAGAAAAGTGGGACACTAACACTTTATTCTCTTACATACAGTTGCAGAAAATAGGAAAATATCATCTAGAGAGAATCAGAAGTGAACAGAGATATCTTCCTGCTGTCCACATTCAAGTTCAGGCACTTCTATATTTGCTAGTTTATATATTAGTTTTTAATTGTATTCCTAATTCTACATGCAGCACCTCTGAAGTAAGAGCACATTACATTCTTGATTACATTGGAGGACAAAACAATTAAAATGTAAATGTAGTTTGTTAGCATAGAAGAGCTTTATTGAACCTTGCTTTTAATCTGAACTGCTATATAAATTTACAGTTTTGGAATAACTTAAACACTTTATTCAGTTCAGGAACATTTTTAGGTGAATATTTAAGCATTATATTTCACTTAGCGAGAGCTGAGAAAAGTCTTAAATATTGTATCTACCTAATTTCTGCACTTACTAGCGACTATGAAAGCAGACTATTCAGAAGCATTCATGAAAAACAGGTTAGTAAAACACTCTTTGCCCAAGCAATGTAAAAGAATTCTGGAACGTTTACTACAATATTTACAGTGATAGATGTATAATGGTAATCTGTTAAGACTCTAGACTAAGAGTTTAAGACTAACTACATGCTTACACCAAAGGCTATTAATCAGTACCTCATTGTTTGACCTGGGGATGCCAAACACGTTTAACCCTATGCCTTATCATGCTGCTAACAAAAAGAATTACCATGTCTTAACTAGATATTCCTGCTGTGCTTTCAACCCTCCAGTCAACTCCTAAGCCTTCCATGAGAACTTCATCAATGATGTCAACCTCTGACAAGTGAGCACTTAATAAATCTAAAGCTCAATTTAAAAAGTAGTTGGAAAAGAGAAAAGGAATTCCCACTTCTGCACAGACAGAGTGGCAGTGAAATATTCCTTACTCTACCCTGATTTTTCTGCACGCTGACTGAAAATTATTCTGGTGGGTGCCTGACCACAGCTGGAGCTCTTGCAAAACATAGTGCTGACACTATCCATGTCCCAAGACCACTAAGAGTTTCAGAGCATCCAAGCCAGTTATGAATAGAACGTGTGCAGCAGGCCAAAACACTGTAAACCCGAGCTCTGACAGGCCTGAAAGGGCAGGCAAGGGAGCAGATGAGCAGGGCAGAATTGAAACAGATTGCCCAGACAGGTCAGGCAATCCCTGATGTTGGAGGGTTTCACAGTTTAGCTAGGAAAACCCATGACTGAGCTGATGTGAGTGCTGGTGACAGGCCCACTTCAAGCGGGAAGTTGGGCTACATGACTTCCAGATGTCCATGCCAAAGAAAGTAATTTCTGTTCTTCTGTGAGTAGCTGCAAAGGCAGCAGTTTACCTGTATGCAGTTCCCTAATGGCAGTATCACAATTTAATGTTCTGTTAACGTTTAAGAAATTAGAAATGCAGCCATAGAAGTTAATATTCTATAAATATTTAAAAGGAAACCTAAATTCTGATGAAACTCATAGTTAGTTATGTTCACAAGTCACAGTTCCTTTTTTAAAATTAAATATATATTTCTCAAACTCCACTGAAACTGCTAATTCTTCTGGACAAAATCATCTTTTACATATCTAGGTGCAAACAATCACGTGCAAATATCCATTACTTTAATTTTTTTTCAGAGATCAGGAAACATTTTAAAAACTAATCCTAAATGTTGCTTAAGTATTATAGTCTATTCCATGCATCTCTAGAATAAAAATAAACCTAACAGTCTTTTAAAAAATGGGATTTTTTTGGTCGTGTTCATCTTGTGTTTTTGCAAGTAAGGTGAAATATGTTTTAGTTTTATTAATTAGGAGAAAGTTTTTCAGGTACACAACTTTTACTCTATTTAAAATTTCATTAAAAATGTGCTTGTTTAGGTTTTTAAGTAGATATTCTTGCAAATAACAAGGTCAGAGAGACCGCTCCAGGAAGACCACTTGAGCAAAACAAGGGGAAATAATGTATTTCATAATAGCTGTCAGAATACTCTATAGATTAAAAAAAACCCTGGAGGACTCAAGCCTTTGCTAACACCTTGAACTGTTTCCAAATGAAGAATACAATTCAGGAGTTTAGGCAGAGATGTATGGTAATATTACCTCATCCACTTACATGTTGAACATTTGTACTCTGTACTAGTTGAAGCTTTTTAACTCCTAAATCCTGATAAAGGTAGACAAATAAAACAGTATAAAGAGATTTGAAGGGCTTTTATATTACTATTTTAACGCCCAAGCCTCCAAGTTCATTAGAAATTGTGACTGTTACTTGTTGGATCAATTTCTCTGCCTTTGAACTACAAGTTGGAGAACTAATATTTGTTTGTTTAGTATTCTCCTGGATGGTGTGGAAGCTTTTTGTTATTTTCCAAGTTTGTTTTAAAAATCTATTAATCTGTTCTCCAGATCTTTGCCGTCCTATGTGACATTCACATCAATTTTATACACTATGCCAGTGTATGAAAACTTTTGAGAAATACTGCACTACCACTTGACAGCATTTTGCTATGTGGGAAGCAGTAAGCCTCACACACAGTTCCATAGTCTGGCTGTTTACAGAATGGGCACTGCCAATACAAAATCATACAAAAAAAGAAAAAATTGTGGCACCAAAGCAAAGCACTTGGTGAAAGCACCACAACTTCCACAGGCACAAAGTTACCTTGCAGTAATACTTCTGCAAAGTCTGAGGGTAAGTTCAGCAACCATCAAACTCCAGATAAGCAACTTGCACACCTTCCTGACGTGTTTTGTCCACAGCTCTAACTTGCTGTGCTTCTTGGACAAGTTAAGCTAATTAGCATCACCTCTATGCTAGCAGCAAACCTACCACGCTGTTTTTCATCATGGCTTTAATACTGAATCCCTCGCAGGCCTGCTGCTTGTCCTGCTGCTTGTCCTTCTTCTCTCGTTGCCGGGGGTACCTGTCACCTGCGGGCTTTGAGGGGCCCGGGCCCCCCTCCTCCATTACCATCTCCCCACCGTCGCCCGCGACGGACCAGATTCAAACTACGGACTGGAAAAAACAAGCGAACATAAGCGTCCCGTGCCCAGCGAGTTAGAGCAGACAGCAGGTCCAGCTCCACTCCCTCCCCACGCACCCGTCCCGTGCCTTCCCCGCCCCTCACGGGCCCCCTTTGCCTGCCCCTCGCCCCCGCCCCCGGTCCCCTTCTGCATCATCCCAGCTCGTCTCCCCCGTCTCGGCCGTGTCCAGCCCTTCATCACCACCTGATGTCCTTGTCCCCGGGAGGGTCCTCGCCCCCGCCTGCCCGCCGCTGTCCCCCCGCCGCGTCCGACCCTGCGGGTCCCTCTCGGGCTCCGTTGGGCACCTGCCGCCACGCGCGGTCCCATGGCCACGCGACCGTCGCCAAGCAACGCGTCAACAACCCGCCGGGGAAGCGGGAGGGGAATCACCGAGAGCCCCGTCGGCACCGCCCGGCGCCGCACAGCTGTACCTACCCCCGGTGCACCGTACACCGGGGCGGCGGGCAGCAGTTAACGAGAAAGCCATTAGCGGTGCGGTGGAGAAATGTGAGGCGATGACGTGAGAGAAGCGTGTGCGGGTGTGAACTGGCCAAGAACTCCGTTACCCAGGGAGCGCAGCGTGCCGCTCCACCTCCCTCACTGAGGCGCGTGCGCGTTCAGGGCCGGCCCACCCCGCCCGCAGTCGCGAGACCCCCCAGGGCGGCTACAGGGGCCGTGCTCGAGCGGCAGGCGCGGCCGGCACGTGCGCGCGCGTGCACGCGACGCCCCTCTCCTCCCCCGAGGCCGCCGCCGCCGCCATGATCGGTGAGTGAGCGCGTCGGGGAGCGGGGCGAGCCCGGATGCGGCTCCGCCCTTTCCTCCCCGCCCCTTTCCTCCCCGCCCCTTCACTATTGCCTTCTCGGCCGCTGCTGTTGTCGTGTCTGCGGCCCTGGGGGTATTGGGGGCTTGCCCAGCTCCCTTCGTTTTCATTCGGTCCCCGCCCGTCCTCCCCGGTGGCTCGGCAGGAGCGGGGGTCGAGCTGGGGCTGTTCTCGGTCTGTTCTCGGTCTGTTCTCGGTCTGCGCCCGCTGGTTAAATCGCGTCGGGACCGCGCAGGGCCCGCCAAGCCCAATGTGCTGAGAGGGGTCACTGACCTCCTGTTTTACCCCCGTGGGAAAAGGGGTAAAAAGTCTGGCCAGACCTTGTGACTGAGGTCATTTTTAAATTGCTTTTTATTCCTTCTCGGTATATCGATTGTAAGTGCTTCTCGGCAAGGTTTGTGTGTTCGGCGATCTTTTTTTGGCCTTGCCTGCATCTCTACATGTAATTGGTCTAGCGGGGTGCCTGGTGGCAGCCTGGAAAAGAAGCAGCTTAGAGCACCTCGTGGTGTTGGGAGTGTGACCCTTTGGTCCTTGATCTTCGCTCTGTACCCTTCCAGTGCTCGTGGGAAGCGTGACTCGCTTGTTTCAGCACTGCGTTTTCCTCTCTTCCTTGAAAGATTAACCCATACCTGGGGAGTTCAAAATTACAGGATCCGTTTTGTAACCTTCCTGTTACACATTTCATCTTGATTTGACTTCCACAGTTTTGAGAATTATTTAAAGCAAAACCTGTAAAATGTAATGGATGCACATGCATTTTAGCAACTCTTTGCTGTCCTCAAGGTTTTCTGTTTCATCATCAGCGTTGGTGTCATAGTTGCTGTCTATTTAAGATCTGATCGAGTTGAAAACCATGCATTTTGTTGTGAAAGTATTTATTGTTTCTAAATTGAACATCTCAAAAGTTTCCAAGAATGCTATTTCAGCTATTCATGTTTTCTTAGCAGTATATGATTGCAGGTGTACGGCTAATGTTCTTTCACCTTTGCTAAAGCTAAAAAGAAGGTTATAAACAGTTGTCCAGTATTTTCACTTGGTATACTTATTAATGCAAATGATCTCTTCTTAGTTATGATTTTTTTATACGACTTTCTTGTCATTTGGGCTACTTTTTTCTTACATAGTTGAGAACCTTTTAAATTGAAGGCTTGGCTTAAGGAAAGCACAGAGGGTCAGGTGTTCCACTGTTTTTATTTTGCAATGTCATCTGCTGATCTGATGTATTGCTGTAGTATATAAAATACATGTGTTTGCAGAAACTGCAGTGCGTGTTTGTTTTTGAATGCTTCAGAATAGTAAGCTGAGTGTACCTAAGGGACTGCCCGTGTGGTTACAGAGCTGATGCCTCCAGCCCTCACACTGAAATCTAGGTATTTACTTACTGCTCATGAATATAAATGTTATATGACTAAGGAATTATAATTCTGTTTTCACTGTGGCAGACAGAAACGTTTGTGAATATTGATTATGAAATGTACAGACCGATTAGTTGCAAATTTAAAAACACAGCTTTACACGAGTTGCAGCCTGCCCTGATTTAACCCCAGCTGGCAACTATGCACAACACAGCCGCTGGCTCACTCGCTCCTCCCCTGCTTAGCAGTGGCATGGGGAGGAGAACTGGGGGCAAAAATAAGAACAGTTTAATAATTGAAACAGAGTAATAATAATACTGATAATGCTAATGATGATGATAAGGAGAGAGAGAGGAATAAAACCCAAGAGAAACAAGGAATGCACAATAAAATTGTTCATAGGCCACTGACCAATGCCCAGCCCATCCTCCAGACCAACTCCCACCAGTTTGTCTACTGGGCATGATCTATGTTGTGTGGAATATCCCTGTGGCCAGTTTGACTCAGCTGTGTCCTGGCCACACTGTCCCAGGTTCTTATGCACCTCCTCACTGACAGAGCACGGGAAACTGAAAAGTCCTTGATTTGGGCTAAGCACTATTTAGCAACAACTGAAACATCAGTGTGTTGCCAACATTATTCTCATACTAAATTCAAGATGCAGCATTGTACCAGCTTTTAAGTTGAATTAACTCTATCCTAGCCAAAATCAGTATGACACCCTCCCTCACCCCCCAAAAATAAAATACTTATCTTCAAAGCATGTGATGTGGAGATCTAGTCCAAGGTCCCACTCTAAGACTTTCTGAAAACTCTCCTCTAAACATTTGTGAGCTGGGAATGCCATAACAAAAACTGGAGGCAGAATGGGAAGGATGAGATAACCGTCTACCCATTTTTTTAACCTGAGTATTGAAAAGAATTTTCCTATGAAACACATGGTATATTTTCAAAAATGTTCCACAGTTTCATATCTCTAGAAATGTCTTATGTCCTCATAAGTTAGTACCATAATATACTTATACAGGTAATAATTCCTTTAACTGATTTTTAATTTTCTATCTTTCCTTTTGATCTTTGTTTCTCACAGACCAGGTTGTATAGACTTGTACACATTCAGGTTCCTTAAATGGTAATTTGAATCTAGACTGAGCTAGTTAAGTGACATAGCTTGTCATAGCTCTATGTAGGGGCATGCGAGATTTGGGGAGTTGTTTGTGGTGGGTTTTAAAAGTTTATTCTTTATTTTATTTATTTATTTGCTTACCATTGGATCAGCTGAAAACTGCTGTTAGTGGAATGGAAGTGACAACCTGCAGTTGGATTGGCTGAACTATTTCTTAGCCAACAGCCCTGGCAATAACGTCACATTCTTGAACACCTGTGTTGGGGGGAGAAAATAAAAAATTAAAACTGATTTTGAAGGAAGATACTGGGACAGCTTTGTGGAATTTTTCAGAAAATATCTCTCAAAGAGCAAAAAACCCAGAAGGCCCTAAGCTGTTTTAGAAATGTAGAAGATTGACTCTATATAGTTAACAGTGGCAGTTCTGCATTTCTGTGTTGAATGAGAGATGAAGGTGGTAGTAACGACAGGTTGCAAAGGGCTTTGACAGTGAAATATGATTCATCCAGCAGTAATCAAGTTAAGGGAGAATGGGAGCCTGGGTGAAAGTTTTAGCTATCTGGATGACCGATCACTCCCCTGTGTTGCACCCTTTTTCAGTGTGTTGGTAATCTACTTTCTGCATAAATATTTCTCATTGCTATGAAAATAACCTTGAGGAAGCAAAATAAGAATAAACCCTTTCAGAATTTCCTTGAATATATGTACATACATGGTACTATTATCATAATGGTACTTGTGTAGCAACCAAAGGAAAAGTAGTTCAGGAATTTTCTTCTTAGATATTTTGATGTCATGCTGCAATTTTGTGTTTTTTTTCTGTTTCCATTTTGCTGTTATAATGCTATGGATAGTTCTACTACAATACTGGAGTAATAGTTCAAGTTGTAGTTCACGAGCATGTGGCATAATCTGGCTGATAGTTTGATTAAACGAAGCTTAAACCTCAGACTATCAAAGGCTATTTGCATTTCAAATACATGACCTGTTTCGCTCAGTTTGTTTGAGCCTTTTTCCCTTCAGCTAGGGTTGCTGTATTGGACTGTGTGTACAGAATTGCATCATGAAACACTTTGTGTTTTACTGGTATTTTAACGATTATTTTCCTGCAAAATGCTTTGTTATTACTCTGTCAGCAAGGTGTTATAAACTTAGTGCCATTCGAAGTAGGATATCTTCAAAATACAGCTGCATTTTGCTAAATATACATAAGTGTTCTGCATTTTGTTTTTTCCATTAAGGGAGATGAGAAGGCTTTTTGCTTGGATTTCTTTTTGAAAGATAAGTAGTAAGGGGGAGGAAAAGTGGGATGTGTCTTTTTGCTTTCTTATGGTACTTTTGGTTGATTTTTTTTGATGTCTGCAGAATAACAGTATTATAATATCAAGACACTGGAGACTAACTAAGCAGGGGCTAAGGATATTCTGATGCAGTGTTTTGAGTTTTTCAGGTAGGGCGCTACAGAAAATTGATTTGGCAGGTTTTATAAATTATTGCCCACGCTTACTTGCATGTAATGTGTAACTAGAGAATCCATTGCCAAATGCTTTGGTTCAGGTGCTCTCTCCCTTTAGAGAGTAGTTGCAATTAAAAGCTGTTGGTTGTGCTGTGTTCTTTGTGAAGGTGGTATGAACAATGCATTTGTTGCC